GTCAATTATCCCTAATGCAAAGGAAGCAGCCTTATACTGAATCAGTCCACTGATCCATCTGGTTCAGTTGTGTCTGCAGGGGCACACGTGCTGGAGCTCTTTTACACTTATGAATAAGACAACTCTAAAAAGCACTGCAGGGCTGCTTTTCATTATACTATGATACTATATTATATGATACCAGAAAGGGCCACATCAGATGTGCCTCTGAATGTGTAAGGGATCTCTTACTCATTATGAATATCATGGCAGTACTGTATATACAACAAAATTAAGTTTATATTGACCCTTAAACCATTTCCCTTGAATCTGCAATAAAACATTTTCTTAGAATCATAGAACCATAAAGTTGGAAGAGCCCCCCGAGGACAAATCAATCCAACCCGCTTCTCCCATGCAGGAAAACACAATCAAAGCATTCCTGACAGATGGCCATCCAGCCTCTGTTTAAAGACCTACAGAGATGGAGACTCCACCATACTTCGAGGAAACATGTTCCACTGTCAGACAGCTCTTACTGTCAGGAAGTTTTTCTTAATGTTTAGGTGGAATCTCTTTTCCTGTAGCTTGGATCCATTGTACTGGGTCCTTGTTTCTAGAACGGCAGAAAACAAGCTTGCTCGCCCTTCAATATGACAACCCTTCCGATATTTAAACATTGCTATCATATCCCCTCTTATCCTTCTCTTCTCCAGGCTAAACATACCCAGCTCCCTAAGCCACTCCCCATAGGGCATGGCTTCCAGACCTTTCAAATTAAGGTTTGGTTTCTCAGAGGTTCAAAAACAAAGTCAAAATCTGGGCACATCATCACCAGAACTCCTAGTAGGAATAATTCCTAAAGCTACCACTGTGGTGTCCTTACAGCTACAGGGCATGGATCTCCACATGGTAGGCTAGTCTTATGATGGAAACATGCTCAGTTTCTACAAAAGATTATAGCTGGTTTATTGCCTAGTTTAAAAGGCTCTGCATTAACACCAATACCATTTGTAATGTATGTCTGTAATAGGGAAACAATCAATTTCTCATCTCAGAAGGCAGGATATGCTACTGTGATTTCTTTGGAGCCAACATGACACCCACTTTTGTAAATACTTGTTCACATATGTTGTTCTAAAAATCTAATTTTCCAATGCTATTTTGTCTCCTATTTTTCAGAACTGCAGAAGCAATGACTGCCTGTGTCAAGTTTCTTCTGGGCTTTCAGAAATGGAAGTTGTAGACTGAACCCCTGCATATGATTGCAAAAACTCCACATCATTGATCTTTGCCCCCAAGATAAACAAGCATGAGATTCACTGCCTTATGCTGGAACCTTCCAATGACAGAAATGTGTTTGTTTTTACCAAATTCTAGAGTAGTTAATTTTCCTGCCTCCCGATAACAGGCTGAGCCAATTTGCCTAAGACTCAACAGTCAGCTCCAATATTTCAACCTTAATTAAAGCTGAACTCACGTCAGCTCAGCTCTTCCCTTCACAAGGCATCTGACATTTACAATGATTTGCATCTCAGATGAGCTACACAGAAGGCTATTTTCCCCTTCCTCTCACCAGAAACAACTTTACACCTATTCAGCACGCCATCTTTGTTTGTTTTCTAACCAACCTTCCCAGAATACTTTGGATCAAACATACCAAGTTTTGCTTTGCTTTGTTTTGGTAAGGTGAATGGAGATATACCAGGTGTGTAAGGGAATGACAGTTCTTTAACAAATGGCACAGTGCTATCTCAGTATAGAAGCATGTATACCTCAGCCCCAAGGCATCCATCACATATGCTTACCTGATCCTGTTTCCTTTTATTGCAACACCTCAAAACTGTTAATGCATTTGTCCTTGCAACATTTCTGCTCAGCAAAGAAGGGTTATAATTCTCATTTTACAAATGTGAGAATAATGGTATCCAAAGGCAATTTCATCCATTGGATGAATGGGATGTTTGTCTTGCGCAATAGCCTTGAAAAGGGTGCAACGTTATCATAATTTATGGGAAATGTTTTCTTCTTCTTCTCCAGGAAATGTTTTCATGGACAAAACTGAAACATCAGGCTAAAGCACTGGTAAAAGAAGGTGCTTAGAGTGTGAAAGCACATGCGAGATGAGAATCAGGTTTATCAAGGGATCCTCTGATGTTGCAAAAATGATATGTATGTACTTTGTTGTTATTGTGGTACTGTTTTATGCAAAGGACATTGTCCAAAAGCAATAAAATTTGATTGACTGACTGACTATCAAGGGATCCAGTGGAACATGCTCCAAATGAGAGACAAAGGGGGGTTGCAGACTGCCATAAATAGTGCAAATTGAGTCCACTTTTAGGGTTAGGGTTAGGGAATCAGGGGGACTGTATTTTATTGTGGCACCAGAGCTCTCTGACAGAGAAGACTCAATGTCTCAGAAAAAAAACAATTCCCATGGTTCCCTACCACTAACCCTAACCCTAAAAGTGGACTCAATTTGCACTATTTCTGGCAGTCTGCAACCCCCCAAAGTCATTTTCCCACCCAAAAATCATGGTGTTAGGCATGCATGCCAATCCCAGGAAATAACTGGAAAATACACTTATTTATTTTAACTGCATGTTTATTTGATTTTTAACCATTATGGTAACTCAGGAATGGTTCACAACAGGGCCACTAACTAAAACCACCTCACCAGAACAATAATGCAAAATAAAAGGGAAAGGGAGATAAAAGCATGATGATGTATAAAATGGTAACATACAAAACACAACATTAAAATAAACTGTATTATATGCCCAAACCAAACCAATCTGTACACTGAGCAGAAAAGAAGGGCGGCGGGGGAAGAAGCTACCAATGCAGACCATAAATCAGACCACTAAAAGTCCAGGTAAATAGGACAGACTTGGCCCAGGTGCAAACACGACAAGCAGAGAAGGCACCACAGGATCTCTATTGGGCAGAACTTCCAATTGGACTAAAAACAGTACTGTTATAGAAAAACACCTTATCTAAGCTCTATAGATAAGGAGAACCAGAGAGGTATGTCAACTGAAGATTTCAGCTGCTGGGCAGGTTCATATGGAATACCACATTGTGGTTTAAGCTGGTGAGCCACATGTAAGTTACTTGGAGCCCCTTGGGAAGAGGAGGAATGACAGTTATAGGGGGGAGAAAGCAAAATGCCTTCTGCTGTCAGCCCCACCAAGTTATCCTTGCTGTAGCTGGCATCCTGTTCTGTAGTTGCGAGATTGTAAACTGGATTTACATTCTCGTAGCTACTGGAGATTCATCTTTATGGTTAAAAGACGAAATGTGGTACCTAAAATCTACCTTTTCAGCCTGGCAGTACCTCACCTGAAGGACTTCCAAGGCTTTGCAGCTCAGGGTGCTGTGCAATAGCATTTGTGGTGCATTCCTGGTTATGGTGTGCATTGATACAAGTAGTTTGAGGAGTATCTCCAGCTGCCTGTTCTTGATGTGCCCATTGACCAGGTCAGGACTGTAGATGTAATTTCACAGCACCCCAATTTGCTTGGAAATGCTTTGACTGAGGCACTGCCAGGCCAAAAAAGTAAAGGTTTTTTTTTTTTGGGGTGGGTAGCATAACCAGATGTAACCATGATGCTGGAGCTCTGACAAGGCAGGCTCTCAGCATGCAACAGACAGGGAAGGGCCTGCTGCTGTCAATATATGGCTCGAATCAGTAAAATCAGAGTTGCAATGAGTATAAGAAGTGCCTGCTCTTCAATTGCCTGTACAAATTGCAACAAAGGAAGCTGCCTCCCACTGAGTCAGACATCTAAGGCTGTTGCCATACTGTAGAATTAATGCAGTTTCACACTGTTTTAACTGTCATGGGTCCGTCTTATGGAATCCTGGGATTTGTAGTCTGTTGTGGCACCTGTGCTCTCTGACAGAAAAGGCTAAACATTTCACCAAACTACAAACCCCAGAATTCAATAGAATGGGCCCATGGCAGTGAAAGCAGTATCAAACTGCATTCATTTTGCAGTGCAGATGAAGATTACCCAGTAGAAGGAGGACCTCCCCCTTTTCAAAGTGCTCTAAAGGTAAGATTAGTGTCTTGGACTGTCCAAACAGAAAGTGCACATTTTCAAAATGAACAAAAACCATTCACCTAATGTAAAGGTGCACAAAGTAAATTATACTATTACTTTCAAGATAACTGACTTAGGTTTCAGTAGCCGATTTATGATTCCCCACAATCAGGAGAGATGGATGGTGGCTAGACTGTTATGCTGACTTCTCAGCAGAAAGCAAATCCTCCAGGGGTTGAGCTGACTCTAAATGAAAACTGGTGAGCACAGCTGATGAATATAACTGAGAACTGAAACTTTTCTGCTAGAACAATTTGTTTTTGAGCTCATTTGTGTGTCCAGGAGTGGGTCCCACTATGCTAATAAAAACATTTGTGCATCAAAATTTGAAAGAAAATGTCCACACCTACTTATTGATTACAGCTGTAGATGGGTTGGCGAATGCATAGGATCAGAACGGAGATCGACCAACTGACTCTGGTCAGTTCCATCAGTCAATGAGTTCAAGCAGCCATCTGAACCTTATTGTTTGATATTTTCCAGCCTGCTTCCCAGCTGAGGCAGCCCCATGACTCCATGTGAAGCAAAAACCAGCAAGCGGCCATGTTCCCTCCCCAGACCGCAAAGCAGCTGGGTGGTAGTCTCACAGCTCATTAACTGTTGCTAAAGTGCAAGAGATTAAAATCTTCAAAGACCTGCTCTTTGAGGACTCCACTACAAGCAGTTCCTGGGTTATACAAACAGCATTCAGGGCAAAATCAATTCCAGGCCTCCTGCTCTGTCTCACTGGCTCTGTCTTTTTCCTCTTGTTATTTCTTGAGAAAAAGAAAAATTGTGATGTCCTTGCATGTACCTGTACTGTTTTTCTCTTGCTAGTGCAGGTTAATGTTTAACACAAATAACGTGTGCACAGAAAAGCCAAACAGTGAGAGCTTGGTATGTTCACCATTTTTCATGGACACGTGCTAGCAAATGGGTATAGTTCAGTGGTAGAAGCCATGCTTTGCATGTAAGAGATCTCACATTCAATTTTTGCCATCTCCAAGTAGTACTTGGAAAGACTCCTTTCTGAAACTGTGGTTGCCAGTCAATACAGAAATTCTAAGTCACTAATTCAGTACATGGTGGGAATGCTGTGGATGTCATTTATCTGGATTTCAGTAAAGCACTGGATAAAGTCCCCAATAATGTTTTGATTAGCAAACTGATTAAATGTGGAATAGATGGGGACACTGTCAGGTGGATCCATAACTGGTTGAAAAACTGTGCTGAGAGAGGCATCATCAATGGATGCATTTCAAACTGCAAGGAGGTCTTAAGCAGAGTGCTGCAGTGTTCTGCCCTGGAGCTGACAGTCTTCAAAATTTTTATCAATGCCTTAAAAGACTGGGTGGAGGGAATCCTTATGAAGTTTACAGATGACATAAAACTGGGAGAGTTGGCTAACACACTGGAAGATAGGAACAGAATTCAAAAGGACCTTGATAAACCTGAAAACTAGGCTGAAATTAATAAAGTGAAATTCAGCAGAGACAAATGCAAAACTCTACATTTAGGCTGCAAAAAGAAAATGCACACTTATAGGATGAAGGGTATTTGACTTAGCAGGACTACAGGAGAAAAGAATTTTGGGATTATTGTTGACTGTAAGTTGAACATGGAGTGTGTGCTATTTTAGCCTGCATTAATATAAGCATTGTTTCGAAGTTGAGGGAAATAACAGTCATACTATATTCTGCGCTTCAGGGTTTATCTGGAGTACTACATTCAGTTCTACGTGCCTCATTTTAAGAAGGATATAGACAAGTTGGTGTGGGTTCAGAGAAGGGCAACAAGAATGACAAGAGACATAGAGAACCAAACATATGAGGAGAGATTGAAGGAGCTGGGCATCTTCAGTTTGGTGAAGAGAAGACTGACGCTATCATACTCTTTAAACACCTTAAGGGCTGTCACAAGGGAGAAGGCACAGGCTTGTTCTCTGCTAACTCTGAGGGTAGATCTAGGTCTAATGGTTTTAAGTTACAAGAAGGTAGATTTCGATTGAACATTAGAAGGAACTTCCTGGCAGTAAGAGTGGTTCAGCAATGGAACCACAGCAATGGAACAATGCTGGTGGGCCACCCAAAGCTTGTCAAGCAGCAGAAGGGATCAGCCTGGAAGCAACTGTACTCCACAATATGGGAGTAGAGCAGACCAGATAACTATGTTCAAATCGAGACGACAGAACTATTCCTACTGTATAGTATTTCCTACAAACATGAATACTGACAATGGCTGGGCTGGATGGAGGAGCCCTTCCACTTCCAATGTTAGAGCTGGTTCGTACTTGGCCATTACTTGCCTTGGCCTTTGCAATGGGACAAACAGCAACCACAGAAGTGTATCACCCACTCCAGATAGATCAAATTTGCAAGCAGAGCAAATAACAATTTCTGTTTTAAGTCTGTTCCAGCCAAATTATCCAGTGGTTTAGAAGTAAATGAAATCTTCCTTAGATTTGGATGGAAAGGAGGAATAGAGGAATAAAGTTGGTTGGCACCTGGATATTGGTATAACATCCAAGGTTGTAGTGTGTACTTGAGCCACCAGCTGTAACATCTGCTGTTAATGAGACTCACATTCAAGGTGATCTTTTTCAATCATGATTTGGAAAATTCACATGGAACTGAACCATCTGGATGGTCCTCATACATGACTGGCTGACTGGTTGGCTAGCTAGTTTAACTTGGATCACTAACTTGCTTCTTTGATTAAACAGTTCCCAAATCCTTGGTCTACAACTGGGAGATTGGGATCCACAAGTGGAACCTCACACAAGGATCTGAAGTGATTTTGCCAGTGGCATCACCGTTATTTTAGGTGCTTCTTTAAAAAAAATGGAGAGAACCAGAAATAAAGGGTGAGACCAGAGCTTCTTTACTTTTGGATGTTTATAAATGTCTCCTTTCAATCTTGTCACTCTAGAACAGGGGTGGCAAAAATGTGGTCCTTCAGATGTTGGTGAACTTTAGCCCTAAGGAATGCTGGGAATTACTGCCCAAGAGCCTCTAGAGGACCACATTTCCCCACCCTTGCCCTACAGAAAGAAGAAATGTAGACATGCAGGGTCATAAAATACATCCTGGGTCTTGAAATGGGCTATAAGTCAGTCATGACTAGACAATCTTGTCAAAGGAAACCCTTTACCTTTACTCAGTATAGGGCTGTCCTTGAAGGGCATTTGGAAGCTGCTGCTAGTCCAAAATGCTGTGGCCAGACTGCTGACTAGGACTGGTCACACAGAGAACATATACCTCTCCTGTCACACCAGCTCCACCGGCTAATGATTTGTTTCTGGCCCCATTCAAAGTGCTGGCTGTCACCTATAAAGCAAGTCCTGTACAGTAGGCTATCTGAAAGACTGTAATCTCCTGGATATGCCTACCTTGGCTTTGGGATCTGCAGGAAAGGCCCTTCTCTTGCTCCCCCCATAATGCATAATTCATATTTTGCTGCTTTTTATTATTGGTGGTGTGAAATGGTTTTCATGGGAATTTTAATAGTACAATTAATTTAATTTGTATTTTGACATGCATACTTTATTGCGTTTTTACTGGAAACTTTTTAATTATGTTGGAAGCCTACTTGCATCCCATCCCCAAGTCCAAGGGATATAGATATATATATGAACCAGTCTCTCACAAAGAAGCTCATATCTGGCAGTTCTATTCTTGGCCACTTTGTCTATATGCAATGGTACATTCTGCTGCGTGGAAAAAACACAATTGCAATCCATCATATGCCCCATGTTCATATGCCACAGATGTACACTGTATGCCTGGAAAGAGTATGCATCTGCTTCTTTTTCAGGAGGAAGTTCAAATAAAACACATCACTTCTTTACCATAATATGCTGCATGTCACATCCTCTAACACTGCACAGAGAAGAATCAGGATGGTTTATTGGCTAAACAAGAGGAACGCATGAATATACAATATGTTACCAACAACTGAAAATACACCTTCAAAGTTGCAGTGTGTAACATGCTTAGTTTTACCCCATTGTGATTCATGAACATGTATTGTGCAGCAGAAGCATGCAACATTCATTCTCCACTTTGACTTCCACAGAGCCTGGAAAGTGCACTGAACCTCAAAGAATGACTTTAAGAGCACACATTAAACATTTTAACAAGATATAGCAAAAAATTAAACATGGCGCGGTGTGATTCTCTAGAAAGAGGTAACAGAATATAGGGTCTGTCTGTGTTTAGCATAATTTTGAGTGTATGTGTACATAAACTACTTTTAGGCTGCATCAATAGACGTATAGTGTCTAGACCAAGGGAAGTAATAGTGCCACTGTATTCAGCTTTGGTCAGGCCTCACCTGGAATAATCCTGTGTCCAGTTCTGGGCACCACAATTCAAAAAGGATGTGGAGAAACTGGAGTGTGTCCAGAGGAGGGCGACTAAAATGGTGAAGGGTCTGGAAACCATGCCCTATGAGGAACGACTTAGGGAACTGGGGATGTTTAGCCTAGAGAAGAGACGGTTAAGAGGTGCTATGATAGCCCTGTTTAAGTATTTGAAGGGATGAGGATGGAGCAAGCTTGTTTTCTGCTGCTCCAGATAATAGGATGGAGCAAGCTTGTTTTCTGCTGCTCCAGATAATAGGATACGGAGCAATGAATGCAAGTTCCAGGAAAAGAGATTCCATGTAAACATTAGGAGGAACTTCCTGACAGTAAAGGCTGTTGGACTTACTGTTGGTGGAGTCCAACAGCCCTTACTGTCCCTTAAAGTTGGTGGAGTCTCCTTCTTTGGAGGTCTTTAAACAGAGGCTGGATGGCCATCTGTCAGGGATACTTTGATTTTGAGTTCCTGCATGGCAGAATGGGGTTGGACTGGATGGCCCTTGGGGTCTCTTCCCACTCCATGATTCTATGATATGTAGGCTGGGAAAATAAGCTGAGTATCAAGCATAGTTCAGCATCTTGTCCTTTTGAAAATGGAATAGCTGAAGGCTCTTGAGTTCCCAGCATCAGCACACCCAAACTTTGGCTGCCCTTAGCTAATGTTTGGCCCCCTTGCTCTCTTTCAACGGGATGGTGCTTCTGCAACCTGACTTAGATCCAGCCTCTGTCACTTCAGTTCATTTGTACAGAGCTGTCTGTCAAGTCAAATCTTCTTGCAACCATCTAAAACACCCTCAGAACAGCTGCCACTGTCAATTATTCTCTCTGACAGCCTTGACTATCAGGAAAAGAACTGGAGCGAGCACTTGCCAGTTTTAATAAACTGTGTTGCCCAAGTCATTTAACCTGCTAGATTGCTGTACACTAGGGCTGTAACAAGCCTTCAAGCTGCTTGAAGAAAGAAACTGTGGCAAAGAGCTGGAGGCTTGATCTTTGCTATCTGCTTCGGTACACCTCTGCATTCCTCTTTGACAGGATCTGAGTTTTGAAGCAACAGATTTCCAAGTTGCTTGTGCGGCATTTTATGATGCAAAAGCAGCTACGTTATCTTGGCTACATTTGCATTCTACCCTTCCTCTTAAGGAACGGAGCATCCTTTTAGCCTGAACGCCATCCTCCAAGGTGAGCTGAGCTCTGTTTTTGTCCAAGGCCCCCCAAGCAGCTCTGCTGAGCACAGTGCATTTCAACTTCAGTTTCTCAATATTTTAGGTCCTACACGTTGTACTGCTCTTCGAAACAATTCTTAAAATAACCCAAGTTACAAAATAAGCTAAGGATCCTGACCGTGCATTCTTCAAAATGCTGTAGTTGACAACTTCCCCACTCACTTAAAAGCAACTGTGCAGGAGCATCTGCCTTCCACAACAGTGGAGAAACACACCAGCTTTTAAATTACAGTGCAACCATCAACTGACTAAATGGTTAGTGGGTTATAAAAAGGCACAAGGAAGACGGAGAACGAGAATGAGAATGAGAAAGAGAAAGAGGAAGAGGAAGGAAGGAAGGAAAAAAGAAAAGAAAAGTGGCAGCACCTTTAAACCTGAAGTCCCTCGGCCCTTAAAGGGGAAAGGTTGCCTACCCCTGTCC